CTTGTATGTTTCGATCACGGGCTTCAAATGCTCTAAGTAGAGTTTGTATATGACCACTTTTGCTTACTCTGGACTTGATGCTGTTGATGGATTCCTGGAGATAAATAAAATAATTTTACTGTAAAAAAATAGTCAGAAATTTTAAGTTTATTTAAAATAGGCTGTATGGGGTTTTTTAAAAATCAAAATTTTAGGATAAATAGCATAAAAGTAGTATACTAAAGATCCACTGTTACACTTTTGAATATTTAAATTATTATTTATAAAGGTATACAGACTATGAATTAATAATATGGAGCTATCTGAGTGACAGCACTAGGAATTTACCTATAGTATCTTTTTTTAAGCTCATCAACTATACCAAAATGATTACAGTTTTTCAAAAACTATTTATTACCTAGGTATTTATCTGTTTCTTAATGCACTGTTTTTACAATATTTTGCTCTTTGAATGTTAGTCTGACCAATGTACTATCTAGCAAAACACCAAATGCTATCTCACAAAGTATTAGTGAAACGAAAAAAGGTTTCACTTTTACATGTGCTGTGTATACACAGCAGTATTTGTAATACACAAAGTTTCCATACTACATTCATAAAATAAGGCTACCAAGATGTATGCTAAGGTGTACACCTTCTGGGGGATCCTGTAAGGTATATTAGACCTGCACAAACATAAGGATTTGAAATTATTATAAAAATAGTTATGGCAAAAGGTACAAAAATATTAGAAATAGCTTTTTCTGGAAAATGCAGATAAAATGCTTATTTTAATGCCTATCAGTTTGGCCTATGGATGTTAATTTTTATTATTTTATTTATTAGAAGATCATAGATATTCAGGGCTGGGGAGATGGCTCAGTAGAATAAGCACTTCATTGGCGAGCACAAGGGCCTGAGTTCAATCCTCGATTCCGCCAGAAAAAAAAAAGAAAAAAAAAAAAAAAGATCATACTAACCAGGATGTCTTCAAGTTTCATCTCCAATACATCTGTACCAGTAATATATTTCTTCCAGTCTTCTTGATCTTGTGCCTCTTCTCCTATATTATCCAGGATTAATTCAAAGAAAATTACTTTCTCAGAAATGGTACTGAATGTATTGTCAAAGCAGAACATATAATCACCAACTTCAGTTTCTACACTGAATTACACAAGAAGAAAAAAAAAGCATGTTTTCAGTTATTTGTACTTATATTTGAGAGCAAAAGGAAAACAACTACAGGTGAGAGAAGAAACATGGCTTATAAGTGAATAGCTTTTCTATTTCCTTAGTACTAAAAGGTAATTTATGGTGTCTTACTGAAGCAGTCTGGAGCCATATATTCAAGTACTTGTAGCTTAAATACGTGTGGCATTTACTCAAGTTATCTTGATCTAGTTTTTGGAAGGTGACAGAGCGATAAACCTAAATATACCATAACTCATAATAAATTTTAATATTTATACATTACAAAAGGCATTTTATCATGAATTAAGTTTATGTAGTATGTGTACATATGACTTATTAATGTATCCTTCAAGTGAGTTTAACATGTAAATTGTTTTCAAGATTGTCTGTACTAAGTGTTTTCTTCTAGGGTTCCCACTAATTAAGTAGTTTTGTAATACAGTCTATAAAGGTTAAAGATAAGACCTATAGCCAACGAACAGAACCTTTCAATTGGATTACCTTTACTAAATATTACATTACTGAATGTAAGATCTTTCGTTTTACTACCTTCACATTCAAAATAATTGGTTTGGTCACAGTTGATTCATTAGTGAAGTACTTTCCTATTGATGTTTTATGGACATAAGCTGAAGCAAGAAAACATTCTATGGTAATAGCATTTACTACTGTAGCCCCAAACAAGAAAACAAATATAGCTTTTTTGAATGGCACAATCTTTAAAAAAATACCAATGAAATACCTGTTTATCTTTATTCAGTTAAGGACTGCACAAGAAACTGGCCAAGGGGCTAGGGAGATGGCTCAGTGGAATAAGCGCTTGCCTGGTAAGTGCAAGGGTCTGAGTTCAATCCCTGGTTCCACAAAAAAAAAAAAGAAAAAAGAAAGAAACTGGCCAAGAAAAAACTGCTCTGGTACGGCTATGGAATTCATAAAATTTACTTTGTGAGCGCCAATAATAGATCCATATATGGTCTCTTTTTTTCAGTTATAGAGCAACTATAATTTACAAAGATACTTTTTACAAAACAAGTACACTTAATGTGTACATTAAATGAATCTTTTCCCAAATAAAAATTTTATTACAATTTTCTAATAAAGGTTTTGATATGTCTAGTGAGTTTCCTATTTACTTAGATGAAGTGATTTCTAAGCCTTCCCGGCTGCATCTTAAACTACTTACCACCCAATTCTATTCAATAGCCCAAGGATGGGTTCAACTGGAATTGGGAGATCCAAGCAATAGGGGTATGGAGTCAGTTGCTTTTTTTTGTGTAGTTCAACACTGAAGTTCTGTTATTATCTTACCATACTGTCCTTTTTTTTGGTATGTGGAATTAAACTCAGGACCTTGTGTTTGCTAGGCAAGCTCTGTACTGTTGAGCTGTATCCCTGACCCAAGTTCTGTTATTCTAATACCTATGATTTTATTATCTTTATTGACCTGGAATCATTGTTGACTTTTTTCATTTTGTCTTAGAACATCTTGTCTAATTCTTTTTTGATTGACAAATAGCATTATATAATCGTGCTTTGCAAGGGTAGGATCCAAACTGTACTTCTCACGTCAAGATCTTCAAAGAACAGAAATTCACTTGGATACCTGTTAGTTTTGGAGCAAGTGTTATATATCAGAGGATGCTAAGTACTGATTACAACTTAAGAGGCCTAAAACAAGCAAATATCCCTCCCACTTTTAGATTACCCACAGTTCTGTTGTCCAGTGAATATGTATGAGGACATTCAAGAAAACACTAAATTAAAAGAAACATGCATGTGTGTGTATGTGTGCTCCAGGCCTCTTGGTATTTTCTCAGTATGATCCAAAGATCTAAAGGCCAAGCTACTAAAAGCTACTAAGAACTGTATGTGTGTGCGTTTGTGTGACGTGGTGAGATTGATCTTGATTCTGGTAATATAGTATATTCAGTTCAGCAAAAGAAAACCTGAATTATTCTCTTGTTTTAATTAAGATCATTATTTTCTTTTGGGACATGCTCTCTTAGAGTCTCTTAGAGTCCATTAAAATGGTCAGATCCTACTGGTTTGCCTCTCATCACTAGTATCTGTATTATAGCCATTAATTCATTTTTATGATGCAATTTTATGTAATGACTATTGACTTTCCACCTTATAGGTCACACTAGAAAAAATATAATTTTTCTTTTCCAATTGCTAATATGCTCACAGAACAGTTAAAATTTCAGAAGGTTTGCATTGCTTTCTGTGGCCTTCTGAATACATGTAATTTTCATCTTTTAAATTAATCTCCATCTCTTTTTATCCAATTTATTGACTTTTTGTTTAAGCATGAGATAACTAAGTAATGATGAATCCTTAGTTCATTTGTGTTTCAAATACCAGCTAATACTTGTGTGACTCTTCACAGTTTACACATTGACTTCAAAAGGTTCCAAACTGGGAAAAAAGGTATAAATAAATAGAAAAAAGCTGAAAAATACTAACTCAAATGGTCTTTAGTAGATGTTTTGAATAGCATAAGCAGGTATATAAGAAACAAAAATTCCTCACTGTTACAGTATTGTAAAAATTTGTGTTGACAGCTTTTAGTAAAAAGGAATCTGATTACAAATATAAAATATTATATAACTTAAAATCCATAAAGTTCCACTAGAACAACAAGTTAATCTAAAACTAGTTCTTTTTTTTTTTTTTGGTCTTTTTGAGGCTGGGTATCACTACAGTTCAGTCTGGCCTTACTGGATTCAAATCACAATGATCTTCTTGCCTCAGCCTCCCATGTGGTGGGAATACAGGCATGTGCCATCATTCCTGGCTTAAAATAAGTTCTGGTAGGGTTAGGGTAATATTAATTCAGTTATCTAGGAAAAAAACTGCATTCATGTATTAGTCATTACAGGCAGTGGTTGATGAACATAGTGTCAAGCTATTTAGTTCTGCTTAAAGATACTATAATTTATTTTACCAGATGTTTTAAGGAAAAATATACATCAGTGTCATAATTGAGACTTTAGTTGGTTTTATAAAATTAATATAGCTAAACATGAACATTTTGTTGCAAATCCAATTTTCAGAAATATTTTTAATTTGCTGTAGTGATTAACAATGAGTTGTACTGCCTGGGTTTAGATACTGGCCTTGCTTTTCACTAGGCAGTATTGTTCAGCAACTCTTATACTGTTCTTCATTAACAAAATATTCTAGTAAAGAATAAAAAGAACTAATACATAAAAAGTATACAGGCTTGGCATATTAAAAGAACTCAATAATGTGAAGTATAATAAATTCATTGGTTTAGTAAGTAATTCTATAAAAGCAATAAAATGCCTCTTCTAACAGTTAATTTTGATTTATTTTTAAAAACAATTAGGGACAAATAAAAAGTGACAAATTTTTCAAATTCTGGAACTTAGATGAATTATATATACCTATCAAAAAGAAAACAATTCATTTGCAGCATGTCCATTTTAACTTACTATTTCTTTTTTTTTAACTTACTATTTCTATGTTATTATTTTTTATTTTTTGATATGGGCAATCGAACTTAGGAACTTGTGCTTGCCAGAGAGATTCTGTGCCACTGAGCTGTGTATTCCTGGCCCTCCATTTTATTACAGGTTTAGGCAAATGTTTTTTGTGTTCTATGTAGGTAAAAGGCCATTTAAAAATACATTTCTGCTGAGAGTGGCATTGTATACCTATAATCTCAGCACTTTGGCTAAACCAGAAGGATTGTAATTTTGAACCCGGCCTGAACAACTGTGTCTTATGAGAGAGATCTTACCTCAAAATAAAAAAGGGCCAGGGGTGCTGCTTAGTGTGAAGGCTTGAGTTCAATCCCCAGTCCACAAAAAAAAAAAAAAAAAAAAGAAACAGAAAACTAAAAATCATTTTAAATTAGTATTCTAAAAAGATATGGTTGAAATTTTCTCCCCTCTCATTTGTATATCTATTTAGTATTTACTCAATATCAACTACATGCCAGGCACTTTGGTTAACAAAAACCAGTAATTATAATAATGGCTAGTACTTACAATAATGCTATGTGCCAGGGATGTTCTGAGCATCATATGGTAGAAACCAAGAGTTTTGATTCATCCTGTCTCCACCCTGAATGTGTATCCCTGCAGACTTATTTAACGTCTTTGAGCGTCCTTGTCTGTAAAATGGGAATTGGGAATCAAAGAATCTATCTCATAGTGGGTAGAAAGATTTATTTAGAAGCATATGATGTGCCAACTTTATAACAAATAATATTTTCTAGGTTTACTAATCCCTTTTATAAACTGTTTAGTTTTAATATAATATTGACTAATGAATATGCTACTGTGAAAGAGCATGGGACAGGAAAACATACTAGTGAGAGATATGAAGAGAAAGAACATGTAAGAAGAACATTTTGTGAAACTCCAGATCAAAGAGAGGTAACACATTTTTTCTATATGGTTTCCTATGATGAGATAATAGGCCTAATTAGAGTGAGTTGTGAGTAAAACAGTTACATATACAAAGATGTATTATATTTTATTTCAACAAAGATGATTATAAGTTTTGCAGACAGCAGCTCAGTAAATCTTTGATACATAACAATTGTGTAATAATACTTTTAAGTTAAAATGGAAAGCCTGTGCTAGCCAGAAAGGTAAGTGTAAAATACTGTAATAGATTGAATACAATACCTAGGGAATACCGATGTATTTAAGCAAAGAAAAAATGTTTAAGTGCTGCTAAAATGAGTATAACAAAGAAAAAATGTAATCAAGAGCCAAACAAATATCTAAAAAATAGCTGGTTGTAGCAACTGAGGATAAAGCAGAAGCCTTTGAATCCAGAGATTAAAAGATTCAAGATCAGCCTGGGCAATATGGCAAGTCTTAATCCTTGTGCCACAAGTTAATGGAATATGTTAGTAGTTTTTTGTTTTTTTTCTTTTTAAATTTTTTTTTTTTTTTTGTATTTTAGGGAAGGGTCTACAGGGTGTTCAGGGTCTCACTACTAGATCAGACTCATGGTGATCCGCCTGTTTACAGCCTCCCAAGAGCTAGGATTACAGGTGTGCTCCACCATACCCAGTCTCAATTGCAATCTCAGCGCACCCTGGGATGGGGCTGGTACAGGGATCAAAGGAATATGTTATAATTTAAAAGATGACTCACCATAAAAAACTTTACAATTATTTGGAGTGATCTAATACTGACTACTAAATTTCTCTACCCTAAATTTCCTTTACCCAAAACCCAACTTACGTGTGAACTCCATCTGATTTTCTTTGTTCAAAAACTAAGGTTTTGCCTTCTGGAGAAGCAAGATGGAAGTCAATATCTAATCCTGCTCCATCTAAGACCTATAGAAGAGCACATAAGAAAAAGTGTATATTATAAATTCTGCAAAATTATTAAGTGGATAAAATGATATACTGTCTTTCTGAATCTTGAGGGATAAGAAAGCTGCCAAAGTTAATGGGGGGGGGGGCTAGCAGTTGATACTTACCTCTTACTCATTCCTGTTGCCATGACTTGGATTTAGGCCTTGTGGTTGCACTAAAACTATACTTTCCAAAAGCAATACTTTCATTAAAACACCTTGTGGTGTGCATAGTAATACACATAACAGTTCAAATGCTGGTGCTATTTCTTTTACTTATTATTTAAGTAACTTAAAACATGCTATATACATTTCTCAATTTCCTTTTCAGTAAACAATTAGCCACTTTCAACACCAGGACTTTATGATTAAATTTCCGAGTTCTTCAACACATTATGAATTGTGTATTCCAATTAGGACAGTCTACTTACTAGCCAGTGCACATGATATTCCTTTATAATTCTAAAATATTCTTATAAGGATAGTGTAACAGTAGATTACAATGATACTTTATGCCATATGTTTTAAAGTGCTTTAGCTTCATATAGATTGTTTTCTTTCAAAATTAAGACGGTCTGCTTTTTTTTTTTTTTTTTTTTAAATATATTTTTAAATGTATTTGGTTGGTATAGGGTCTCACTATGCAGCTCGGACTCATATTAATCCTCCTGTTTTTAGCTTCCCCAGTACTAGGATTACAGGCATAAGGCACTAAGCCTGGATTCTGTGGTTGGCTCAGCCCACCCTGTGGGCGGAGCTGGTGTGGCATGTGGTGGCAGGGATCGAACCCCTTCCCTGCGCTTGCCTAAGTAGGTGCTTTAGTCTGCTGAGCTATCTTGCTGGCCCTGCTTTTCTTCAGTTAAAAAATAAAAGCCAAAGCACAGCAATTAAGCTTCAATGTATAATATGAACTCAGCAGTATGCCTCTAGAGTAATTTTAATGAATATGCTATGTTGCTTATAGTCCTAGTCATTTTCCTGAATACACAAGTTCCTGATCCAATGAAACTTATGCAAGAGCCAGTTTACATTTTTAGAAATGGACCTCTCCCCAGTTCTGTAACACTGTTCCCTGCATTTCTATAGAATGTACACCCATTCCTTTGATACTTAATCATGCATTATCTGGGACAAAGCATCTTTATGATGGGTGAAAATTTTCCAGTTGTTCTTTTTATAACTAAAGGTACTGATCCTAACAATGGTAATATCAATGTTTTGATTTTTATCACAGATGAAAATATTTAATAAGTATATCTATGTCATACAATCAAAGCTCCTTATAGTTTCACTTAGAACTGTCTGTTCCTCTCCTTTTCTTCTCTTTCAATTCTCTCCCTGCCTTTTCTCTACTTTTTTAACAGTTAAAAAGCAAAACATTATCTATTTGGAATATTACATAGAATAGCCTTTTAATTCTTTTATTATTTCCATTTACTATGACACGTAGTAGGTTTTTTTGTAGTATTTTATATCTACATTTAATATCTACTCTCGTAAAAATTTTATTCTTGCTGACTTTAGTAGAATTCTCTATTCCTGTGTCCTTAAGAGCAGTAAAACTCGCTAGGTAAAAATATGTAATTCTTTTTCTTTAAATTACAATGAAATGTAGAAGCCACATAACAATAAAATACTGTAATTTATAACACAATCTTCTTAGGTAAGAGTAGATACGGCAGCTGGGCATGGTATTGCAGGCCTATAATCCCAGAACACCACCCCTGTGTTCATGAATTGGCAGAGTTAATATTATCAAATCGGCATATTATTAAAAAAATACAGATTGAATGCAATCTCCATCGAATTTCCAGTGACATCCTTGATAGAACTAGTAAATATCAATCCTAAAATTCATATGGAAACACATAAAAATCCAGAAAAGCCAAAGCAGTCCAAAGCAAAGACAGCAAGGGTAGAGGCATTGCATTATCTAACTTGAAATTATACCACAAAGCCATAGAAATACTGGCATGGAACTAGCAGAAAAGTAAGACTAATGGCACAAAAACAACTTTTTTTTTCCCCGGTACTGGAGATCGAACTTGGGACCTTATGCTTGCCAGGCAGGCGCTTATGCCTCTGAGCTATATATCCCCGGTCCTATAAAAACAAACTTGGGCAACTATAGTCATTTGATTCTTGGCAAGGGAGTGAAGACATTGTGGAGAAAAGAGCCTTCTTTAACAAATAATGCTGGGAAAACTGTCTATCCATATGTAGGTGACTGAAACTAGATTCCTATCTTTCACCATGCATAAAAATCAATTCAAAGTGGATCAAAGACCTAAGTACAAGACGTAAAACTTTGGTAAGTACAAGAAGGGAATATAGGGGAAACACTGCACAGGCACAAAGACTTCCTAAATAGGACAAAAACAGTATGGGAAATAACAGCAAGAATCAACAAATGGAACTATACAAATTAAAAAGTTTCTCCACAGCAAGGGAAACTACTAATAGGGAAGACACAGGCTACAGAAAGAGAAAAAAGCTTTGCCAGCTATTTTTTTGAAAGAAAACCCCTCCAAAACAACCCAATCAATGACTAAACACACACTTTTGAAATGAAGTACAAATGGCCAATAAGCATATGAAAAATGTTCAACATCTTTGGCCAGTAGGGAAATGCAAATTTACATTGAAATTCCATCTCACCCCAATCAGAATGATCACCATGAATATAAAAAAAATAAATGCTGTTGAAGATAGGGTACGTGTGAAGCCTACAATGCTGACAGAAATGTAAATTACAGCTATGATGGACACTGATTTAGCTGTATCACTCCTTGGTTTATACCTAAAGTTAGCATACTAAAGAAATACCTATATACCCATATTTACTGTGGCACAGTTCACAATAGCCCAGACACATGTCTAGTCTAAGTGCTTATCAATGGAAAAGGAAATGTTGGATTTGTACACAATGGATTATTTCTGAGTTGCAAAGAATGAAATGTCATTTGAAGGAAAATACATGAAATAAGCCAGACCCAAAAAACAAGTATCACATGTTGTCCCTAATATGTACAAGCCTAAAAAGATAGCACTAAAGCAGAAGGGAGATTATTATTAGACAAAGGAAGAGAATAAGGAGGTAAAAATGTAAAGGGAGAGTGATGGGATAATATGATCAAAATATACCAGTGAAACTCAATATTTTATAAAATTTATAGGTAATAATAAAAATTTAATGGAAAATAATTTGCCAAGAATGTGACACTATTAAGTAACTTCCTCAAGAGGCTCACATGGAGGGCTGCCTACCAGTATCTCAGCATCAACTTTCTGTAGTCTATATCGAGTGTTTTGGTATCTGAATACCCAGCCAACTGTACCAGATTCTTCACCCACAGAAGCAATAAATGTTTATTGTTTTAAGCCTCTATAAAGAGTCAAATGAATATAGTGTGTATCAGAGGAATTCAAGAATATACCATCTACAAAAACGGATGCCAATATGGAAAATTTCATAAAGAAATTAAAAGTATAATTGCCAAAGCAAAACCTTAACAGATGGAATGATAGGATGAACTTGGGTAAACACCCAAAATCTTTTTTTTTTTGTTTTTTGGTAGAACTAGGGATTGAACTCATGCCCTTCTACTGAGCTATCTCCCCAGCGCTAAACACTCAAAATCAGAGAACTAAAATGAGCTCAGAGGGGCCAGGGAGATGGCTCAGTAGAATAAGTGCTTGCCTGGCAAGCTCAAGGGCCTGAGTTCAATCCCTGGTTCTGCAAAAAAAACAAACAGGTAAAATGAGCTCAGAACAAGGTGAAAAACTATAAGATGTAAAGAAAGTATGGAAAAAAAAAATGGGTAAGAGCCTAAAATGTGGACAAAACGAAAGATTTCAAATATGAACATCTATAGAAAGAAATTAGAAAAGGGAAGGGATGAAGTCATTAAGCAAATTCTTGTTTCCAAAGATAAAAATCATCAGACCAAAAGGATCTAACAGATATGAAAACAGAAAAAAACAGTCCTACTGATAAAAAAGATCCTGGGCTGGGGAGATAGCTCTGCAGCCTAAGTGCATGCCTGGCAAGCACAAAGACAAGGGTTTGATCTCTGGTACCACATACAGTGCTTACTCCAAAACCCAGGTGCACCTTGCCGGTCACCACAACGAGTTCGAGCTGCATAGTGAGACCCTGTACCAAGTAAATAAATAAAAGTTAAAAAAAAAAAACCCAAAAAAACCTACTGATATTTCCAAGAGAAGTAAACGAGAACTACAAAATATCATGGAAAAGTGCAAAGTAACAAAGATCATGATTAGAATTTTATATATACTACATGGAAAAAAAAAAAAAAAAGCTGTGTCTTCAGTGTTGCTATGCTTAAAGATATGTACTTACTAAAGTGAAACCAAAAACATCTGTCTGAACCCAGAGCCTTGCACATACTAAAATAAGCACGTAACCACTGCACTATATTCCCAACTCAAGAAAGTCGTTTTTAGATGACTCAATGGATTCAAAATGTTTTGAAAGAATTATTCATGGATATCTTTTCCAAAACTTAAAACCATATCCATTAAATCAGAAAACGCTATAACAAAGTTTAGGAAAGTTTTCATTAAAGCTGAGGTAGGCTGTTAGGGTATGGTCAGCTGGCTGGAAAAGAGGGCATGATCTGTCAGTTACAGAAATTTAGGACATGTGCAGAAAAACAGTTGCAAGCCTTGTACCTGGGACTAATCATAAATTGCTATCTTCTATTCTTGCACAAGATCAATCAGGTTTTTAAAAATCCTTTTATTTATTTGGTACAAGGTCTTGCTATGCCCCTCAGACTCATAGTGATCCTTTTGTCTCAGCTCCTCAGTGCTGAGATTATAGACATGTGCCACTATACTCGATTTCCATGGGGCTGGCACTGCGTGATGTACTGGGAATCGAACCGGGATCCTTGAGCTTGCCAGGCAGGCACTTAAGACTGCTGAGCTATCTCTGAAGCTTCTCAAGCAGGTTTT